TTTGTAATATCTCTTTGATAGGATATATTCATTTGTTCATATTGTTTATCCTAGCTTACGTATCTTGTTGTATTTTATACTTGCTAGGATAACTTATTAATTAGTTTTAATTGGCATTTAATCGGATTAGATTAGCATAAGACCCTAATCACCCCCCCTCAAGGGGTCTAACACTCCACAATCCGAAATTAATCTTGCCGTCGAACTTCGGAACATCAATCTTCATGTTATTGATGCTCAAACTATGTATCGTCTTCGTAAGAGACGATCCCGATGTGCTTGTTTCACCCATGTTGTCGATCTAATCTTCAAATAGGAATCCTTCAGCGAATCCTTCAAACAAGCTCCCAAGTCCAACCCGGAGCTCTGATACCACTTGTTGTGCGCAGCGGAAATTTCGGCAGCACCTCCGGGGCGCAAGGTGCACAACAAGAGATTAGATCACAACGAAATTCTCGTTTCTCAAAGGAAACAAGAATCAAAAAGCCAGATATCTCATCAAAGTGTGAAATTCTCGTTTCTCAAAGAAAACAAGAACCTGAAGCCTAATATCCCATCAAAGTGGGATATTAGCTCTTCCTCTCGTCAGCTCTAGGACTGCGCGTCGAGGGATCCTACAAGCTATTACAAATCACGGCAAGAACACAAATTTTACGTGGTTCGACAAATAGCCTACGTCCACGGGGCAAGGAGGGGGGAGATCTACTATTAGAGGGAGAGATACAAATAGGGTTTACAATCACTCAATCTAAACCCTCACACAAACTCTCAGATCCCTCACACAAAATCTCTCTCAAAAGGGATACAAAGGAGCCTTTGATTGATTTTGGAATCAGCCGAAAAATCACAAAACAAATCCTCTGCCACCTTTGCACCTGCACGCCGCTTTTCCCAAGTCCGAAAAAACTCTCAGCGTTTCTCCCTTTTCACGAAGCCTGCCTTGCTTACATCCGAAACCCTAGACTAAACTAGGTATTTATAGGTTCAATCAAACATTTGGGTGGGCCGCACCAACACGTCTCTTTGCCGCCCGCATGCTGCTCCGCAACCGCTTCATTCACGTGACTTTTCTTTGCTGCTTTCTTTTCACGCATTGAGAGTGGTGGGCCCCTTCACAATGATACCTCTTGTTGTGCGCAGCGGAAATTTCGGCAGCACCTCCGGTGCGCAAGGTGCACAACAAGAGATTAGATCACAACGGAATTCTAGTTTCTCAAAGGAAACAAGAACCGAAAGCCAGATATCTCATCAAAGTGAGATATCTGCTCTTCCTCTCGTCAGCTCTAAGACTGCGCGTCGAGGGTCCTCTCGTCAGCTCTAGGACTGCGCGTCGAGGGATCCTACAAGCTATTACAAATCACGACAAGAACACAAATTTTACGTGGTTCGGCAAACTGCCTACGTCCACGGGGCAAGGAGGGGGGAGATCTACTATTAGAGGGAGAGATACAAATAGGGTTTACAATCACTCAATCTAAACCCTCACACAAACTCTCAGATCCCTCACACAAAATCTCTCTCAAAAGGGATACAAAGGAGCCTTTGATTGATTTTGGAATCAGCCGAAAAATCACAAAACAAATCCTCTGCCACCTTTGCACCTGCACGCCGCTTTTCCCAAGTCCGAAAAAACTCTCAGCGTTTCTCCCTTTTCACGAAGCCTGCCTTGCTTACATCCGAAACCCTAGACTAAACTAGGTATTTATAGGTTCAATCAAACATTTGGGTGGGCCGCACCAACACGTCTCTTTGCCGCCCGCATGCTGCTCCGCAACCGCTTCATTCACGTGACTTTTCTTTGCTGCTTTCTTTTCACGCATTGAGAGTGGTGGGCCCCTTCACAATCTATACTACTTATAAAAGAGAATACTCATGTCAAAACTTCTAACTTCCTATTTTGTCCTTTTAAATTTTGATAATTTGCAATAATAGCATTGGTTATAATTAATCATTAAATAATTATCCATAACTCTTTATTAAATGCACCTCCTACTCTCACTAAGAACATTTGGTCAAAAATAAAATCATTATCAATAGTTTATAATCTAATACTACATACAAATGGTTATGTCTATTATCAATAGTTTATAATCTAATACTACATACAAATGGTTATGTCTATATTTAGAATTTTAGAATGTCAATGTTCACTTATGGTTATGTCTATATTTAGAATTTTAGAATGTCAATGTTCACTTTTTGGTCTACCTTAGTTGCATGTCGGGGGGCTTGTGACTCTTCTATCTAAGAAGTTGAAACGACTGTATTAGAGGGGCATCAAAGTTTAAACCATGGGAGGACTAGAGTTTTGTAGAAACTACCTAATGTAAAATTAGAGAATGGTGCGCTTCATTCTTTATTGTTTTAGGTCTTTTGAGCACCGGTTGTTAATGAGTCTAAAATTTCAGTTCAAGACTATGAACTTCTTCCCAACCAGTCACAAAATAATATAAGACAAAGTTAATCAAATAATTATAATAATAATTTAATCAAATAATTATAATAACAATATGTAGAGTCTATACTTTTAAAATTCAATTTGAATCAACGCATAAACTATGAACCAAATTAACTAACAAACAACCCTTTTTATTTTTATTTAACTTCTCTTTCATCTCTTGAGTGTAAATTAGCTCATACATTTTCTTCCACAATAATATCTACTAAGTTAAAACCATACAATTACAAAAGAAAAGCTCAACTAGAACTCCACTTGGATTAGAATAGAAAATTTAACAAAGCACAAGATGTCGACTTCTTTCTAGGATCAAATTTGCTCAAGCACGTGTTATCATGAGATGTTCCTCTATAATTCAACTAGAATTTTGAAAGTATGTTTTGAAACTTGATTATTGTAGAAATTAATCAATTTGGTATAATTTAAATTGGTACAAGCAATTTGGTGATTAGTTCTTTTTGGTGACATTGGGATCACTCAAATTTCAAAATGTATTATAAAAAGACTAAAATGAACAAATGTATCTTAAAATCTCATTAGATTAAATATTTTTAAAATTCAACCCCCTAAATGTATTTCACAGTATAATTTAAAAATACATTGTATCAAAAAAATCTATGATGTTAATATCATGAAGTAGGGGCATGATTAGGAATGCATTAGGCTAATTGCATTATCCTTTTGATGTTACAGTGAAAAGTACAAAATAAATTTTCTTACTATGATTTTAGAAAAAAACATTAACTAAATACTACAACCGGCATATTTACATGCATCCAAAATAAATGTTATATTTTTATTATAAATAAACCCTAATTACTAAAGTGATTTCTTCTTAAACTTTGGCTTTTTTACCTTCTAATTAATTACTCATTTTATATGTTACAAAATTTTTTTATTTATTTCTCTCTTCCTCTCCTTCCAACCATCTTACTTGTATTTCTGAGAAACGAAGTGCTTGGGATGACATTAAAGATGGAATAGATTTCTATGGAAATGCTAACGCAATGATTCAGTGCCAACTTGTGAACTAGAGATTGATAAAATGCATATGAATGACATAATCAGTCTCTCTTGTAATTGTCATGAAGCTTCAACAAGTGACAAGTCCCTTCGCATGATATATCCCCATCATTCAAACATGTCAATTTTAAGTTTAAGTTTAAGAAATTTATTTGGAAAATCTCTTATTGATTAGCATTTCCTTAAGTAGCTTGAACCTTAGTGTAAATTGAGCAAATATGTGCCTCTCATATCTAATATTAGATCATCTTTTAATATTGCTATTGTGTTTACATTATAAGTTTGTTCATATATAGGGTTATAATTTTTTAACTCTATTAATCCACGTTAGGTATCTGCTATTTAGTAAAATTGACCTCTATGTCTGTATGTTTTGCTTCAGCTTTAAATGCTGATGATTAATATAGACTTTGATAAGGTAATTAAATTTGAAACATGATATGAATTTGTTCCTTTTTTTGTCTCATTACCCTATAAGTTTAGGTTTTTCAGCTATTAACCAATCTAATCATCTAAGAATCCTAACACATAAATCTCTTATTACGTCATTTATGTGTGTTTCATGAATATTTGTAAAATCTAAACCGGCTTAATTACATGAATATTGGTAAAATCTAAATCATCGATTCACTTCATCATTTTACAGTCCACATTTAAATTTTTTTAATACTGAACAAGTATACCCACGTGCAACGCACGTGCACTACATCTAATATCTTACACGCCTGAAACTTAATCAAATTTCGTAAAATTTTAAATGAATAAATAAAACATGTGTGTATTTATGAATATATCTAGGGTCTGCACGTCTGCCAAACTTATTTTGGGCCCGTGTAAGTTAGTCTAATAAAGCTAGAGCTGTCATGTACAATTTGCCCAAACTGATTATGGACTTCCACTACTTTAAAGCCCAAAATAACTGGACCGGCCCCTATATCCTCGCACACTAAATTCACCGTATATAAACCCCCCTTGAACTTACTCAAACCCTAGCGCCAGAAGACACAGATAGCATCCTCCTCCCTCTCTCGCAGCGGCTAGGGTTTTGTTCTTTTCTCGCAGTAGCAATGGTGAGATCCATTAAAGAGAGGGGGAAGTCATTCTGTTCTCTTTCGAATCTAATCGTCGATCTCCATTGTTGCAGGCTGAGGTTGAGACCGATGTTGCTACAGGCCAGCCGAAGAGGAGAACGTTCAGGAAGTTCGCCTTCAGAGGCGTTGATCTCGACCAGCTCCTCGATATGTCGACTGATGAGCTTGTCAAGCTCTTCACTGCTCGCGCTCGTAGAAGGTAGCTGGATCTGATTCGGGTCGGATTGGGTTTGAGATCCGAAACCCTAGGCCTGTTTCTGATTCTTCGATTTCATGAAAATTGATGAGGATTTATTTTTTGTTGAATTTGTTTGGTAGGTTTCAGAGAGGACTGAAGAGGAAGCCTATGGCTTTGATCAAGAAGCTGAGGAAGGCGGTAAGATTGTCTCGAATCTTTAAAGATCAAAATATTAGTGAAAATATGACAGAATGTTCGTATGATTTTAAGCGATTGCCCATTTTATTCCTTCATTTGTTTTGCATTTGTGCCATGAAACAAAATTAATCAACAATACATGTGATATTGTTCACAATTATATACTGTTTACAAGTATATTTACATATATAGAGTTTTAGTTACAAGGCATTTCGTAATTAAGTGACTTCGAGGAGCTTATTATCATGTTTGCTACTGCCTTAGGAGAGCACAGCACGATTAAGCAAGAAACAAGAGCTTAATAATTGGTAGGAAAAGTTTGTATTTGGTTGATTGCTCCCGCAGAAGTTGTCCGTGATTAATTAGGCAAAATGAAGATATGTAGTTAGGATATCTTTTCCGCATGTAGGGAAGATCAAGCACTGCCAATGACAGATCGACGGATATTTCCTATGGTTTCATTTCGGTTCATTCCTTGTGTATCTTGCCAATCTCATAACTTGAAAAGATGTTTTGATTGTGATTTTTTTCCTTTTATCTTGGTTACTTGTACTTTTGGCGATGTTGTTCACCCGGTTGCAATGCCATATCTTTGTATAGATGCCTATCTTGGTAGATATTATTCACTGACAAACTTAAAAGATTATTAATGAAATGGATGGATGCCAAAAATTGATGCAGTGTACAATAAAGTAAAAAATCAATGCTTGCCTAATTTAGTTATATAAATGTATATTAACTTTAAGAGTTCTATCTAGATGACTTTTAGAAGCTTTTGAGAACCTTTGGGCATACTATTGAGTGCATCTTGCTTTTGTTTAGGGGATTGGTTATTGTTCCTTTTGAATAGTTTTTCATTTGTATATTAACTTCACTAGTTCTATCTATACAACTTATAGAAGCTTTTGATAACATTTGGGCATGCTACCGAGTGCATCTTGCTTTAGTTTAGTTTAGGGGATTGTGGTTGTTCCTTTTGAATACTTTTTCATTCGTGCAAAACTTGTAATTTTAAATTAAATTATATAATTCCATTTTTGAGTTAAATTGTTAAAACGAGACTCCACCTATTAGTGCATGCATTGTAAGACTGCATGGGTAATTTCTGGAAATCACGCAATGTGGATAATTAAATTTTTTGGTGGCTTCAATCATATAGCCGTGGATTGGTTTTCTATGCTTGACTTGCTTAATATTGTGACATCCTTTCTGCTTCATTTTCCTCTACGTTAAACTACTATGGGACTTTGTTATTAGTTATATCTGGGAGACCTTATTCTCTTTCCTTTTTTACTTGTAACTTCAAATTATCTAATTAGTGATTGCGTGGCACTTTGCTTCTCAAATTGTGACATCAGGTTAGAGTTGGATGACACATCAATATAAGAGAAAGTAAATGAGTGTAGCAGGCTAAAGACAAGTGAAGGATGCTATAAGTAATCGAGGAGAATACAGTTTATTGGGATGAATAAATGATAAATTTGTACAACAAAGAAGGTTTTATGGGAGAAAAGATGAGTGATTTTAAGAGAGTATATAGCGGAAAGACTAATGGACTGATGTGATTAGGTTGTACTACAATTGAAATCATATAAAAGTTGAATTGTCCTTTTTTGGCCTCAGTCCCTACTTGGCTCCTAAACTATTACATCTATCCCTGCGTACTTCTTAAACCTTTTTTTTAATATCAGCTTGCCCCCTAAATTATTAACGTCCACCCTCTTTTCCCCTGAACTGTATTCATTCCCACCTAACCTCCTAAACTATCACTTTCCTCTTATAAATCCATTTAAACACCAAATAAATCAGAAGTGGTAACTGGGGATCGAACATAATTCAGGCGTTAAGTTTAGGAGGGCGAGGAGTGTCCGATCATAGTTCAGAGGATAACAGGGAATGCATTCAGTAGTTTATAGGGGTACGTATAGACTCAATCTAGTTGAGGAGGGTAAGCAGGAACTAATTTGTTAGTTTAGGAGGCAAGTTGGATCCGAAGCCTTGTTTTTTTAAAAAAAAATAATTCTGGAAATTTTTAATGTAGAAGAATTCTAAAAGTAAGACATGGACGATGTACAATTCTTATGTTGCCTGATGCTTTATACTGCTTAAATCTTATATTGATTTCGAATTTAATTGCAAGCAATTAAAAGTGAGGCTGTACCATACTGGTCAAAGAGAACCTTCCATTCTGTTTTTGGTTATAGAGTTACTAATTGGTTTGCTGCTTGAATTTTTTATTTGTTTGTAATTGTATTTTACGAGAAAAACTTTTTTCATGGCTTTAGTCTTTTTGCTTTGATTTTTATTAGTCTAGCTTATATTGAAAAGTGTATCTGCTGACTTATGGAATGCATATTTATTTGCTTTGTGGTTAAAGGTGGTATGACGGACTTTTTTTTAGTTAATAACCTGTGTAGCTAATATTTTTTGGATTTGTTGTTTTATGAAATTTTATTGTCCTTTGTACATAGTACCTGCAGAGCCAAGTTTATAGGTACGTTATAATGATGCCTGAGATGGTTGCTGCCTTGTTGCATGTTCATTCCTCTTTATGTTTTCACAGTAGTTTTAGCTTCTGATCTTTTAATACGTCTGACACGTTTAAATTGCAGGGTGATATACTTTTTTTACTGGGTTTGTCCACTAAGCTATTCACAACCCTTTATGTTTAACTTTGCAAGTAGTTTACCTTTTCTCCTGAGAGAGAGAGAGAGAGAGAGAGAGAGAGAGAGAAGAGAGAGAGAGAGAGAGAGAGATTGTGCTGAAGTTTCAAAAAAAATTACGTGAGAGAGAGAGAGAGAGAGATTGTGCTGAAGTTTCAATAAAAATTACTTGTCATGCATCTATTCTGAATTGTAGGTATGCAATGTAAATTGCCAATCTTAGAGTTTGATCTTTCTATTTAAAATTTATACTAGTTATTCCTCTTTCAGAGTGATGTTTTTCCCTTAAAATATGCGTACCTCCTTAAATCTTTTTTCTAATGTTTCGGTACTGTCCTAACCTCATATCCTTAATCTGCATGAAACAGAAAAAGGAAGCACCCCAAGGTGAAAAACCGGAGCCTGTGAGGACTCACCTCCGCAACATGATTATTGTCCCTGAGATGATCGGTAGCATCATCGGGGTCTACAATGGCAAGACCTTCAACCAGGTCGAGATCAAGCCTGAAATGATTGGTCATTATCTTGCTGAGTTCTCAATCTCATACAAGCCTGTCAAGCACGGTAGGCCCGGTATTGGAGCTACCCACTAGAGAGAGAGAGAGAGAGAGAGAGAGAGAGAGAGAGAGAGAGAGAGAGAGAGAGAGAGAGAGAGAGAGAGAGAGAGAGAGAGAGAGAGAGAGAGAGAGAGATTGTGCTGAAGTTTCAAAAAAAATTACGTGAGAGAGAGAGAGAGAGAGATTGTGCTGAAGTTTCAATAAAAATTACTTGTCATGCATCTATTCTGAATTGTAGGTATGCAATGTAAATTGCCAATCTTAGAGTTTGATCTTTCTATTTAAAATTTATACTAGTTATTCCTCTTTCAGAGTGATGTTTTTCCCTTAAAATATGCGTACCTCCTTAAATCTTTTTTCTAATGTTTCGGTACTGTCCTAACCTCATATCCTTAATCTGCATGAAACAGAAAAAGGAAGCACCCCAAGGTGAAAAACCGGAGCCTGTGAGGACTCACCTCCGCAACATGATTATTGTCCCTGAGATGATCGGTAGCATCATCGGGGTCTACAATGGCAAGACCTTCAACCAGGTCGAGATCAAGCCTGAAATGATTGGTCATTATCTTGCTGAGTTCTCAATCTCATACAAGCCTGTCAAGCACGGTAGGCCCGGTATTGGAGCTACCCACTCTTCCAGGTTCATCCCTCTCAAATGAAGAGCTGCTGTCGAAAGTTTGTACTTTCTTAAAACTATTTTCTCTAGGTTTATATGTTGAACTAGGATGGATGTTTTCTTAATTTCTGTAGAACTTTTGTGGTTTGATTTTGGCGTTTGAATGGCTTTACTCCTGTTTGGTACATCTACACCCAGTAGCATTGTTGACTGCTTCTTAATTCTACTATATTTTGCAGATTTTTTGGTCCTGATTATTGATGCTGTTTTGTTTATTCTCTGACTAATCTATGTTGAATATCGCGGCTTGATTCTTGTGTTGTTCCCCTTGGGGGTGTTAGTCAATTTGGGATATTTTCATGCAGAATGGAATAATTGTTAAAGTGGAATAATTTTTCGTTAGTGGGATATTTTAGTGATAAATAGGAACAATTTTGTAAAGCGGAATATTTTGATAAAATAATATGAGATAAATTTTTATAATCATGAAAATATATATTTATGCATTTTGAAGAGATATAAATATTATTTATGTATTTTAAACTTACCAAAAATAAGAGTTCTAGTCTCTCAAATTATTCCAAGTTTTATCTTAGAACTAGGTAGTAAAAAACTAGAACTCTCTATTTTTTGTTATTTTTTATTTTTTATATTTCTTTACTTCTTTTCTTTCCTATTATGGTTATCATCATCATTAGATCATTATTATAATAATAATTGTTAATATCTTATAGTCTAATCAAAAGTTATTTAATAGTAAAGAACATTCTTATAAACAATTATCAATCAATAATAGTAAGTTTAAAATACATAAATAATATTTATATCTCTTCAAACGCCATAATCAAACCATAATAGCGAAAGGCGTTTGAATGGCTTTACTCCCGGTATTTTAAACTTACTATTATTGATTGATAATTGCTTACAAGAATGTTCTTTACTATTAAATAACTTTTGATTAGACTATAAGATATTAACAATTATTATTATAATGATGATCTAATGATGATGATAACCATAATAGGAAAGAAAAGAAGTAAAGAAATATAAAAAATAAAAAATAACAAAAAATAGAGAGTTCTAGTTTTTTACTACCTAGTTCTAAGATAAAACTTGGAATAATTTGAGAGACTAGAACTCTTATTTTTGTACAGAAAAATAAAAAATGTGGGATAATTTTGTATCGTTATCTCAATTCTAGTTTTGTCTAACATTGTAAAATTTTGTTCTAGTTTTAGTTCTACTAGTTTTGTCTAATATTGTAAAATTTTGTTCTAGTTTTAGTTCTACGTGACTAACACCTTAAGAATTTATCCCACAAATTACTTGGACGATAATTATTAGCGAGATTGGTTCTGTCGGGCTAATAGTTGGTTCGTTTTTTACCTAAAAACCGTGTTGCGTTGACATTTGAGTGTCTGATCTTAGGTAAGATTCGTCAAAGATAACATACCCAATTATAAATTCAGAAACCTTGCTCTTTTAAGAATATATGGTTGTATATCTGTGTTTGCCGGCAACAATGCAAATACGCAAATATAAGCATCTTTTGATAAAGATGTATAAAAGAATTTAGTATGGAATTAGTCTGCTGATGTGTAGTTTTTTATTTTATTTTATTTTCCCCCCTCATGATTTACCCCTCCTCCGAGTTCTGTACTTAGGAAAAAACGTCATGATCCTGGTTAGGGGTGTCCAAAAAGCCCGGAGCCCGGACCCGGCCCGGTGTCCGGCCCGGGCCCGGCCCGGTCGTGCCCGGGCCCGGGCCCACAACGGTCACAAACGTGACCGTTGACCCCGGTCCGGGCCGGGCCGAACGGTCACAGGGGCTTCGAATGCCCGGTCCGGGCCGGGCCAGCCCGGCCCGGCCCGGGCCGAACGGTCACAAAAGTGACCGTTTGGCCGGGCCGGCCCGGCCCGGGCCAAATCTGGCCTAACGGCCAGATTTGGCCTTTTGACCGTTTTGCCCCTTAAAACGGTCAAAAACGGCTATTTTTCGAGGGTTTTTTGGTCATTTACCTAGGGGGCTGGTTCTATAAATAGAGGGGGGGTTTCAATTCATTTTCTCACAACAAAACTCATCTATTTCTCTCTCTACTACTCTCTTATACAATAATATACTATCCTATAATCTTTTGTATTTTCTAATACTTCCAACAAATGGCTTCTGGGTCTGATTATGAAGAGCAACATGCAACTCCTACCGATCCAGAGATGAGTCCTCCTACAACAACTCCTCATCCTACCGGTGTTAATCCTGAATCTGGTGGTGACGAATCTACGGCACCAAGAGCTCCAAAAAGGCCGAGGTCTGATGTATGGAATTTTTTTGAGAAGATAGACGTCACCAAGGATGAACACGGTAGGATCATCTCTCAGAATGCGAAATGTGCGCTGTGCGGCCAGATATTCAAAGCTCATCATAAGAGCGGCACCAACCATCTCAAACGGCATATTGAAAAACACAACAAAGGCCAAAATCTACAAGGTGATATCCGGCAGTCTATGCTTTCCCAATCATCCTCTTCAGGTACCCTCGGCAGTTGGAATTATGACGCTGCCCGAGCCCGGAAATGCGTAATCAGGTTTATTGTTCTTAAAAACCTTCCTTTTAAATTAGTAGAAGATGATGAATTTGAAGATATGTTTAGAGATGGTTTTTATCCTGCATTTACAAAATTTTCTCGTCAAACCTGTCAACGTGATATTTTAAAATATTATGTTGAGGAACAGGGAAAAATAATTTCTTATTTTAAAAATTTAAACTGCAAATTTTCTTTAACTTCTGATATTTGGTCATCTAGAGTGCAAACTGGTTATTTATGTATAACAGCACACTGGATTGATGAAAGTTGGAAAATGTTTAAAAGAGTTGTTTCTTTTATTGCAATTGAAGAGTCACACACTGGTATTAATGTTGCAAATTTAATTGTTGAAGAACTTATGAAACTAGAAATTGATCAAAGAATATTTACTCTTTCACTAGATAATGCAAGTAATAATAATGTAGCTGTTGATTTTCTGAAAATAACTTTGTCATTGCCATGTCATGGTGAGCTTTTTCATGTTAGATGTATCTGTCATATTTTAAATTTAATTGTTCAAAGTGCATTTTCTGAAATTAAACCCATGATAGAAAAAGTTAGAACAGTTACTAATATGCATAATGCTTCTGAAATGAGAATTAAAAGATGGAAACAATGTTGTAAAAGAAAAAATTATAAGCCTAGACTAATTCCAAAAGATGTTGACCATAGGTGGAATTCCACCTATGCAATGTTATCTGTAGCAATAGAATATAAAGAAATTATAAATGATTTTATAAATTTTTATGCTTCTAGTTCTAGCTCTGGTAGTGCTTATGGAATAACTGAAGATGAATGGACAGTTATATGTAAATTAAATGAGATGTTACAAGTTTTTTATGATGCTACTATGTTATTATCTGGTTGTTATTATCCAACTATTACTTTAGCTGCTTTACAAATTTTAAATATTCAAAAATTTTTTGCAAAATATCGTATGGATGATACTTTTGGAAATATAATTTTTCAAATGGAGAGTAAATTTAATAAGTATTTTAGGCCTATTCCTCATATTTTTGGTATTGGTGTTCTTATTGATCCATGCTTGAAGGAAATTGGCCTTCGAAGTTTGTTACAATCATTATATGGTGGACAGATTATAGACTTAGATGATGGATCCACCCTTACTGCTACTACTCATTATGTAGCTATTAGAAATTATTTTCAAACCTTATATGATGAGTATGCAGCTAGATATGGTGTAGCTACACAACAGTCTTCAGCTTCGGCACCTTCAGCTTCGAGCACAGGTCGAGGTAAAAGTGTAAGTTTTGATAGGTATGCAATGGTAGCTGAACTAACTGGTGGATCTGGAACTTCATCAGGATTAGAGGTTTCTGAAATAGACGAATATTTATCTGCTTCCTTAGTTAAATGTCAAGGAAATGCTTTAGATATTTTGCAATGGTGGAAAGTATATGGATCAGTTTCATATCCTATACTTTCCACCATGGTTCGTGACTTACTATCAGTGCAGGTTTCGACTGTAGCCTCGGAATCCGCTTTCAGCACAGCAGGACGTTTGATCGACGACCACAGGACATGCTTAGATCCGTATACTGTACAAGCGGTGATGTGCTTACAGGATTGGTGGAGATACGAGAAGCGAACACAAGGCATCGAACGGATTGCTATGATTGAAGATAAATTTGAAGAGTTGGGACTAGCAGATAGATATAATGATTAGATAATATTCATAAAATTGTAATTTTTATTTCTTAGCTTTAAATTTGAATTAAATTATTTCGAAAAAAGTTGCAAATGATAGTGATATGGGTGAGTAGGTGCCAACCTAGTTGGGATGTACTCATCTATTGTGATGCGACGAATTTCGAAATAAATTTATACTTGTAAAGGATTTACCGATTATTAATAAAGAAGTTATTTTTATCATTTTTTGTACTTGTAATTTATGTCATTTCATTTCAAGTTATTAATAAAATTTATGACATTTTTTATAATAATTTATAATTTATGGTTTTGTTAAAATTTAAAAAAATAAAAAAAAAACAAAATTTAAAAAAAAAACAAACCGGGCCGGCCCGGTGTCCGGCCCGCTCAGGCCCGGGCCCGGGCTTGGGTTTTGCCCGGCCCGGGCCCGGTTTTCCGGGCCGGGCCGGCCCGGGCCGGCCCGGATGGACAGCCCTAATCCTGGTCTTGTTTCGTTGTTTTTGTTTTTCGCATGTTCTTCCTTTTTTACTTGCACCGTACTCGTAGCGTGGAAACTAAACTAGCACATGTCCAAAGTGTGACCGACTTCGAGATTAGTGAACGAATCAACTGTATTGTAATAGACTTGACATTATTGTTAATCTAAATTGTTCTACTACTTTAAAACTTCTCACTGCAGAGATTATTATCGTAATCAGAGTGTCAACGTAAAGACATGACGTGGATGCAATTATGTATTGTCGTCCGGGTTTGGTCGTGTTCTTAATATGTTTTTAAAAATATATTAAGAATTTGAAGTGCATAGTGTACTTCCACTAATTACCAATTGGCATTTTTCATAGGATCTTGTTTATATTAAGGCATGTTTTCTTTCACAGGCTTTATTACGATATTAATATCAAAATTAATATTACGACCACCGTGGATGATCCGGACAGTTGAGAGGTTTCAATATGGTTCTTTTGTGAGGTTCCAAAATATCTCCCACAGTTCTAGGTTTG